TAGTATAGTACTACCTTCCCTCACTAAAATGTATTGTTTGCATTATTTGAAGTGAATTTCCTGATGTATTTATCTGCATTAAAAAGGATCCAAATGACTACTTGTCTCGCTACCTACCTCCTAAAAGCTAAATTTATTCATCTTTATTTTATTGCAGCATATAAGGTTTCTCTCTGGAGTGCCTTGAGGCTGTTATAACCTTGGCAAAAGGGGAAGAAAAAAAAAAATGCTAATCGCCTTTTCTGCAATTCAAGATGCCTTTTAATCTAGCTTTCCTGGCGTGTTTCCTCCTCAAACACACTGTAAAAACGACATGGCAAATTCCCACATTAAAATTAGCACAAAGGCAAGAGCACCTAGAGGTTAGCTCTAGTTTAATAGCTACCTGTTACTTCCCCCAGACACAGAAAGTGTACAAGCTGTATTCCTGATTCAAAACCAGGAAACCACGTAAGCTGTCAATACAGATTTGTTATTGGAAACACAAGGTTGTCGAGCCTTGGCCAATTTTACCCAATTTCATATACTTTCCTCTGCGCATGAACAAGCACATATATACAATAATTTACAGCAGAAAACTAACAGCCCTTTTATCAGTTCAATATCTAGGTCCCCTTGGAAACCAATCTGTTATAAGAACTTCAGGGATAAAAGAAAATATATTTATATAGTAATTTTACACAGTTAATTTGTCTTCATTAGGTAGTAAACAGAAAATGAGCTTTTGCTGTTTCTAGGTGAGGTTTTAAAGCCCTCTACCTTCTGTATCACAGCACTGTTGCAAAGTTGTATTTAAATTCTGGTTAAACACTCAACTCTTAAAAAAGGCAAAAAGAACAACCTTTGAAAACTACTGTGGACAAAATATACTACTTTAGGGTAAGGTAGGGACTCAGGACACAATGTAATTATTGTGGTATGGCTGTATCTTGATTGACCCACAATATGTTAAAATTACCTCCGCAAGATTCGCATGCTTCAAATTAAATGCAAATGTTGATGAAAGTGACCTTAAAACCCTCTAACCTCCAATCTACTATGTAAGTAAGGGGTGAAAGGGTCCCATCCAGTTAAGCCTATTGCTTTTCTAGAACCAGTCAATCATTTAACATCTGCCTAAATTCAAATTATGTGCTAAAGCATTTACTTGTAGTCCTTGATCCAACAAACGTGAGCAAAAGATTCAACAATGTGGTATAAAAATTGTAACAAGCTTGAAGTTACTGAATGGACAGACTATTTTCTGAGTTGTATGTAGTCTTTTTTTGGTAAGACAAAAGCCTCTGGCACAGAATCAGAATGTGAAAAATATTTGTACAGCAATACAGTGAATAAGTTGTCTCTATACTACAATTTATTTTTTAATAGCTATTAATATATCCTACGTGCTGCATCAGGGTCCTTTATCAATTAATAGTTTTACAAATATTAAGCCATAGTAATATTTAACTCAACCAACTCAATCTTACAAGTCTATCAACAAACTCATCACATGTACAAACCGGACACTGTACAAATAAACATATGTAAATCTATATCACAGCAGTCTAATCACTGGAGGAAGACATTTTTCTGTAAAGTTGTATCACTGGTCTTTGCCGAGTGACAAAAAGCTCTAGTTCAATATTGACAATAATGAACACTATAGTGGTAAAATTTAAGATTCGTTCCCAGAGAATACACTAACAACAGAAACAAAATGGCTGAAGAGTTGTTCAGTATGTAGGCACAGGTACAACGATTTCTGTTCAACATTTAGAGCACACTAGTACCACAGAAACAGAAGTTATTTCCTCAGCGGTAGTTAGGGAACACACTGTTATTAAGCTATCACTCAGTGGTAAATACCAATTTTAACGTTTCCCAGTATAGAGTAGAACTGTATCCTCATATCCATGTCAGATATAAATGAATTTAATGAATAAAACTGTTAATTGCTGCCAGGTCTGTAAGATCATTTGCGTGTGTATGACTATGAACCTATGTTATTTACAATGCAAACGTGAAACGAACACATGACATTTTGATACTCCATTTTCTGAACCAGCTGTTGGGTACTTGAGATGGCATTATACAACATGCATATAGCTATAGTTCTTCAGTTACTTCAGAACACTGACCAATCGTTTATTGCTCACATTTAAAAACTTAAGACTTTATAATCAAAAGCTCTTTTTCTGTGTGGATACAGCATGTCACAACCACCTCAAACAACACATTTTTCCCCAACCAAAATGCACAGTCTGATGGCAACTAAGGTCTCATAAATAAAGTTTGCAACCTAGTGAAATTAAATTACAAAAATATAATTTTTAAATAAATCTGTTATTAATTTCTAATAAACTTTTAGCGTTGCTTCCATAAAAAAATTTGACCCAAATGATCCACAATTTATTTTAAAAGGAAAACCATTAATGTGTCTAATATGCATTACAAAATTACTGGCTAAAGTCACCGATATTACTGGGTGGGAAGCAGTACCCATGTTCTGCAGGTAAGGCTTTCTATTCTCTAAAATTAAGGTGTACAATTTCCTACCTACTGTTAAGGGAACATGTATTATTTCAGTCTCCGAAACTTACATACAAGGTATTTTCGATATATAAATATATACATAAACATGCCATATAAAACATTATTACAAATGGAGTAAATACAGAAGTTCAATTTTAGATATAATCTATTTCATATAATACAATGCAGATAACATCAGGAAATTACACATTTTCAAATGATTGCCTTCATCAGTGAGATTTAACAAAATTAACAAAATCAATTAGCTTTGAATTGTGAAGCTGTATTGCAACCACAGCTTATTATCTTACCACAGGTTTAGTGGCTCCATTTTAACTGAATGGCAGAGAAATACTTACTAGAAAAAATAAATATACCAACAAATGAAATGCAAACTAACCCCTGCTCCCCAAATTCATATCCGTAACAATTCAAAGAGGATCTGGAAAATATTTGTCATTTTTTGTAACAAAATGCATAATGAGCTACATAAAACTGGGTATGGTGGATACCAATTTGCTATCCACAGCATCATGTTTCTATTCCTCTTGGTGCCAGATACCAATGTGTTCTTTGTTCAAACATTTAAGCTTTTTTTTTTTTGTAACAGGAAATAGAGATTGAAGAATCAGGCCTCAAATACATATACAGAATCTGTGCAAATTTAAGGTCTTAATTCTGTATGCCCTCCCTTCCAGATATTGCAGATGATGTTGTAAAATAAAAAGACATTATTAAGTAAGGGTGTACAGAATTGAGGTTTCATTGCAGGTTTATTTTTTTCAACTAAGTTAGGGTCACACATAACAAAAAAAAAAAATCTTTCACACTACCCAAACTTCCAAAATAATGTATAACCAGAAAATTTTGGTTACATTTTTGTACCATACCAGATCTCTGAAAATATGACTACTTCTGTATTTTTTTTCTTCCTTAAAACTGGACAATACTTTCAGTGATAGAAAATGGTATTAAAATTTGTTTGTAAAGGTATAAAATAACTAAATGTACCATAAACAAATAAATAACTGCTTTTCTTTTCCAGAGCAGTACATATAACAATACATTCCCCTAAGTCATATAGTTATCATTTACAATAGACAACTTAATTTTACTAAGGATGCAAGAAATAATAGAATACAAGGCACAATCATTAAATGGAATTTTTCTTTAGGGTGTATATTGACTTATGTCAGCGTGATATACCATAAAAAGTGCAGAAAAACACAATGTGCAATGAGACCACTGTATAAAACATGATTGCATAAAAAGTGATTTGGCCTTTTAACCTTAATAATTGAAAATAACCAATCTTCCCCTTAAAATTAAACTATAAAGTATGACATTTTAAAATTTATTTTCAATTCTAGTGCTATCTAAAAAATCCTGAAAAAAATTTATACCTGGGTAATATTTTATATGTATGTGTTTATGTATATATTAATATATACACATACACTTTTCTTTGTAGGTCATTTTAGCCTCTTAAGCATGTCTAAAGTTGTAGAAACAACCATCAATCTGGATCAGAAAGTAAACATCATCATTCCATACCTGTCCTGTAATTTCCTTGAATCCTTTAACCAATTATACATTTTGTCTAAAACATCTCTGTCAAAGGACCCCACCAGTGCATTATTTTCTACCAAAAGTACCAAAAAGGATACATTTCAGAACAATGTTAACAACTTACTATTTAAAACAAGACACAGCTTTTATCACTGCAAATGGTATGCTGTACTGACACTCAAAAAGAAAAAAAGGCTTTCCACTGCACTGATTCTCAGTCTTTGGCACAATAAACAGAGATTTAGTGATTGATACAAGAATCAAGGTCTGAAAAATTAGACATTAGTCAAACTTTTTCCAATGTGGATATATATATATTTATGATTACATTTTTGCTATGTTTGGCAGAACTTGGATAAACCAATGGCCTGTGCTAGGCTTCTTTTGCAGTTGAGTGTTCCATCACAACTGAAATTAAACATTTTCAGATTAGCAAAGTTTGGTATTTTTGTATTTAATAGAAACTTAAGTAAATTTACCGCCACTTTTTGCCTTCCTAGGCAACTTGACTTTACAACCAAAGTGTACCTTGCCTGGTCAAAAATAGATTTGTTTTCAGTTTGTGGCATTAAAAGTTCTATCACCTTTTTTTAATTGTGTAGATACTACGCACTACCCGAGCAGAGTAGTTCTCACCTCTGTACATTGTCAGTCAGAAATTGCTTCCATTATTCTCAACTGTGAACAAAATGACTGTTGAAATGCATAACCTATTTGGAGGGCAATAAATAGCAAAAGTTTAAAATATATCTTTCTTTCAAAGAATGTTCTTTCAGTTTAGTTTTTGCTAAATTTTTCTCCCCAAACCAGAACATATTCTTCTAACCCATAATAGCAGCAGGGAAGCAGAAGTCTGTTCTGCTGTTTCTTAACTGTACCTGCTTCATAGCATTCTGAAGTAAAACCCTTGGTAGGAGTTACCAACCGATTAAATTAGCTTTTGCTTTTTCAGTCAACTTTCGGACTCTGCCTCTGCTAGATGTTCCAAAAGTTAAGGAGGTGTCTTCAAACAATAGCTGCCTTTGCTCTTCTTCAGAGTCATCTTCATTGTAAAAGGCTGTCCTCCTACCCTGGTTTCTAGTTCTCATGTGAGGTTCAGAATCTTTAAGCTCTTCAGACCCCTCCTCCATAGGCTCATCTGTCTTTTTCCTCCTGCTTCTCGTTTGCATTTTAACATTCGCAGGAACTAAGAGGTCCGAGCCTGGCTGATGGGTCTTTACCTTCCTTTTTGGCTTTCTACCCCCACGGCCTTTTTTTTGTAACAAGTCTTCCTTCATATTATTTTCAGAAAGAGAATTGCATGCAGTAGAAGCAGAGGCTTCTTCTGGTACGTCCCTTGCGGTCTGGATTGTATTCTGCTCTGCAACCTTTTGCTGTTCAACAATTTGTAGCTTTTTTGGTTTTCTGCCTCTTTTCTTGTGCACCACTTCACAGCTACTGTTATTAGTCTCCACCTTCGGTTTCCGTCCAGGACCCCTTTTAACTGGAGGTTTTGAAGGCTGTCCTCCGTGTCCATTCACCTGAATGCTTCCTGATGCCAAAGCATTATTCTTGCAGTCTGCTGTAAAGGAATGAGAGTACTTATCACGTAACAGATTTGCATTTACATTCATTTTCACACTGCCTTAATAAAACTCTTACTAAAATATCTGAATGGATTCACAGTGATTGCCGATCTGTCAAAATCTAAGAAATCCAAAGTAGAGCTCAAAAAGAGCTTCATTCCAGTATGCAATGAGGACTAACTTCTAGTTGGGGTTACCTCAAGGTAGCTTAAAAAACAAAGGAAAAAAAAAAGGCAGGGGAAAAAAAAAACAAAAAAGGAAAGAAACACCAAAGGGAAAAAACAAAACAACAAAAAAAAAAAAGAAAAAAGAAAAAAAAAAGAAAACACCCCAGAACAGCTCAAGTATTTTTCTTAGCTGATACAAAACCAGTGGACAAAAACTATTCGGTATGTACAGCAGCAAAAAGTTTCCCAAGAAGCACTGCTGCAAGGACTGGGAATGCTTCACAACAGGACATCTCTGGAGAAATGAAAAAGTTTCTTTCAGCCTGAGGCAGCAGCCTTTATAGCCAGTTCATTAGACCAGGGTTATTTTAACAAAAAAGTGAGGAAAAAGGTAGAAACGTGGGAGACTTACACACACACACACACACACACAAAAGTATGTGATTTGTACAAGTTTCTCACATTAACAGACACATGGCAGAAGACTATGTGCTTGGAGACTTTTATGGGCTATGAGTTTTTCTTAGGTGAGTGGTACTCAACTTCCTCAGCACGGGATGTCACAGGACCTCGTATGGAGATGTTCTGATACCACAGCCCCTCCCTAAAACATGAGCAGGAACAGACTCAAAGCCATTATGACAGTTCACCCGGTCCTTTGATGGGACGTCCACATGCAGCTCCTGCTGTGTTCAAATGTGCCCCATCATGCACTAAAAGCACAGGCCTCCACTGTCCTAAGTGTGGATGTGCAGGAGAGACAGGATCACGTCACAACAGTCAGAGGCCTCTGACATGACCAAACACCCAGTTGTATAATGGGCACACGTTCTGCCATGCAATGTGGCAACAGCCGAGGCCTTTGTGAGGAAGCTTGCAAGGTATGGATAGATGATTTAACATATCGGAACACAAGCTGTGTTTTCAGAAGCATGGAAGAGTAAGAAAGAACAGATAATCCTCAGGGAGAGGAGGACTACAAGGAGTAACCATATTAATTAGGTGGGGGCCAATTTGCAGACTACTGTTTCTCCACCTTCAGAGAAAAGATGCTTAGTGGATCTCGCTGCTTCACAGCAGCTTCATGACAGTTCAGAGCTCCTTCATAAACAGGAAAGCTTTTAGACTAGGAGATCTTATTTCAGTCCCCTCAGAAGCTTTGAGTTCTAAGGTATCCAGACATCAAAAGACCAAGCCAGTTCAGTCAGAAGATTACATGAAACGAGGTCTGATCAATCCATACAAATACACTGAACAGAAGCAGCAACCACTGCATAGTTCTATTTTGCTGCAGCAAAAAAATGAAAGAACAAAGTTGCAGCTGGGATCTTTATGCTCCTAATTGTGAGGACGGTTCATCACACTCAGCGTTACTGACCCAAATATAAACCACTAAGTTTCATTAGGTACAACCGACAGGGTTTAAAGTGTAACCCTGCAGAAATCTGCTTCGGAATCTGAGCACTCCTAACATGACACTTGTAATATGTAAATGAAGGTACAGATAAATCAGACCAGACAACAGTTATCATGTCATGGAAACGGTGTTAAGAGCAGTCAAAACTATGCTAATTTATAAAGAAGGAAACTAACTGTGACTGAGTTTTTCCATTAGGCTTCCCTATTCTGCTAAGTCATAATGCATATTAATTACCCCACCCCCAAATTATCAAAACTGAAGTACAACACTACAGCCACTACATCAGTAACTGGGAGGGTGATTCCCAAGAAACCCCATACCTTGTTGATTAACAGTTGAAGATTTTACTTTGCGCTTGATTTGCTTCTCTTTCTCAGGATTTTCTCTTGTGGAGTTATTCCTAGTGTTATGACTGTAATCAGATTGACTAGGGATTGATACAATATTCTGGTTCTTGGAATGTTTGGCTGAATTCTCCAGTACTAGAAGGACAAAAAAAAAAATTATCCAGGTTAAGTAGTTTATACCACACTCAATGTTATCTGTCTAAAAAAGGAAGTCATGTTCTACTAGAAACAATTTGTATCAGTGACCAAGAAGCGAGAAAGATTCCTGGATAAAACAACATAGCCTAACTTGTTCAGCTTTCCTCTGAAGAACCTCAAAGGCACGGCAGCTTGAAAATGGAACTAGCCTTAACTGAGACAAATACATCTGATATTCAAAAAAGCAAGTTTTATGTTTAAAACCCATTCACAGCTTATAAAAAACCCCAAACTATCAAAGAAATAACTTGCCTGACTTTCCTGACCCTGCAGTAGTATTAGGCTTTGTAATTAAAGGCTTTATCGTTAAAGGCTTTGCTCCTGAAGAAGTAGATGGTTGTTCTGCAACAGCCACATCTGTTATCCCCCTATTGCTTCTAGTCCGCACAAGGGAAGAGGTTTCAGCCGCTTTTCCGTTTATCTGAGGCAGAGCATGTCTCAGTGCTGTTGACCGTGCAGGTGCAGAAGTCGAAGAGGTGGCAGAAGTTTCTGCCTTCAGCTGAGGTTTTATTAATCTCCTCTTCCTTTCAGGGCTGCAAAAGGAGTAACAATTTGTATCCTGGATGACTGCCTTTTTTTTTTTTTTTATTTTACAGGAATAAATAAAATTAAATGCCAGTTTCTGAGATCATGGGAGTAAAACAATCATCTCTGTATGATGTATGTTCAAAATACAACATCTACTGTAGAAATTCATGTAGTTATGAGCCTCTGAAAAGTGAATCTTTAAAATAAATGCTATAGTTATATGACAAAGCATGATGCCATCACTATCCTAACAACGTTGGTTTACTGCACATGTTCAGCAGTTATTTGAATTTTAGGCACTTGCACTAGGATAGCTCTAAGTAAAGTTTAAAACTTCCACCTCATAGGGACTTGCACGTCAAAGCTATCATTCTGCAGTATAGGGAAGAGCAAAGGAAATATTAAGGAAAAAACCACACTTCTACTGTTCGGGTGTGTCAGACTTGTGCCACATTTCACAAATACTGTAAAGGAATCAATATACCTGGATGCAACACTACTGGAAACTGAGCTGCTTCTACTTCTTTTTTTCCTTCGTTTCTTTATTGTATTTCTTTTATGAAAGCGTAGGGCAGATTTATAATCCGATAAAATAGAACTTATATGTTCTTCAAAGAAAGCAGAAAGGCGCAAACTCATGCTGTAGATCTATAAAAGAAAAGCCAGTAAACAAGCAAGTTTTATACTTTTCCAAAGCATCATTTTACTTATTTATCACTGAACAATAGCTATAAAAGTAAACTGACTAATATGGAAACGTTTTAAGGAAATTTACAGACCATCTTAACAAATTTGCACTAATCCATGCTCAGGTTTGCTGTGACTATTTTCATGGTTTTGAAAAGTGTATTACAACTGAAAATCACACACATAAGGGAAAATTAGAAAAGCCACCTTTTCAGCTGTCCCTTTTCAACTGCATTTCCAGAATGCATCCTTTTCTACCTTCAGCAGAAACCACAGAGAGATCCTTAACAAAATTGTACTGTATCAGGCCTAGGGTCAAGAAATCTAATTTTCTTCTGTATTAAGCTGCATCCTTATATCCTGTATTTGACCATCAGTCTATTCCCCTTTTGGATGAACTGATACTACCAGTGATTTGGTTGCAACAGGTACAAAAAAAAAAATCCAAAACTGTATTAGAATTACGTAGGTGAATGTTTTTCTTCTTTTATTTTTTTTCCCCTCTAGCCTTGGACAATTTATAGAAACACCCAATCAAACTCAGTTTAGATCACAACTAATTATGTCCCCTATAATTAAGAGGGGACGCAGCACCTTCTTAGAATATGAAACACAAAGACAATATTAAACAGTTGCCTACCTAATGACACACCACACAAGCTGAGTGCCAGACTAAACAGTAAGTGGGACACATTTTGCATGCATTACTGGAGAGGACATCCAAAGAAATTTCATGAGAAAATATGTTTAAAAAGTTAATATAAAAATGTATGTCTAATGTGCCAAGAAAATAATGAAGGTGACAGGTTTACGTTTACTCTTCAAGTAAGCATCAGTGATGTAAAGTAAGATGCTAAAAATATCACTGAATGACAAGGCAGAGTAAAAACAGCACCGTTCAACAACTGTGTGTTGCATGCACTGGAAGTACATAGGTTCTGGAATACTGAAATTCTTGACATCAAAACCTTCCACTTCTAAGAGCTATAAGTTTACTACTATACCAGTCTGTTTGGAAGAAACATGAAAAAATATGAAAATGTCAGAAGAACCTCCACACAGAGCTGAGTTAATGTCAAGCATCCTCCTATCTTGGTTTGAGGAGATCGAGAAGAGAAAGAAAAACCACAAAAGACTCCAAACTGCCCTTTGATGCAACCAAGAGACAAGAGAGTGACTCTTAGGCAGCTCAAACAGTGAGTGGGATTGTCTGCTACTGACTGAAGAGAGATCAATCGATCAGTCCTGCTTGCTAGTCACCTACTAAGGAATTTGTCTCTATACTTTAAGACAATAAAGTCCTGATGATTAATTTGCAATTTAGAACAGCTGAACATAAAAGCTATTAATAATTCTAGTCACACATTAATAATTCTAACACACATTAGTAGAAGAAAAGCTACACAGAAGCCTTGAACATGCGTAAGGATACAGTTGTCACTTTCACTGCTAACAGATATGCACCTGCAAGTCAATTTGAGAGAAAATATTAACTCTACCACTGGCAGGGCGTTTAAGTATCAGGTCAGTAAGACTGGCTTTGTAGCCTCATGCTTTACGTAAACAGTTCTGTTTCCCGGAAATCTTAAGCACTTCTTTACAATCTCACTGCACTGGTGAACAGCACAGAATTTCATTGTCCTCTACTCTCTAGACCTGGGTATTTCAGTTTGGAGCAACCTCCGAAGTGGAGGAGTTTGAGGCTCTGTCTGCATTTTAAAATCTAGTTTCTTCCCCAAAATATCAGTTAAATTCCACTATTGTACCCACAATCATGTTTCTACAGATCTTTCCTTCAGTGTGCCTCTCCCTTTGGATCCACTTTCAAATACTGACTTTTGAAGCACACTTGCAGAACATCAGAACTTTAGGCATTTAAACAGCATACATTCCCTTCCTTTAAAATACAAAGCTATACTACTTTCTCAGAAATATTCACATTCGAAGATCAGAAATAAGTAAACATTAATTAAACAAAAAATAATAATTAATTCTTCTGTCCTGTATTTTTCAGATATAAGTATTCTTTCAAACAACAGCAAGAAAAGAAAAAGTCCTACCCTTGATCTTTTACTTGGTGTATAGGCCTTGGAATTGCTGAAAATAAGTCTCACATCTTTACATAACTCCATCGGTGACTCATAGTTGCCAGCTTCCAGTGTTTCTCTAACAGTAGCAAAATCCATAGGAGTGTCAATAATATCTCTATAATCCTGTTAAGAAATAGCAAAGCAATGTATTACAATTTTTTTTCCCCAAGTCTTAATGCATCATTTTCATGAGGATGCGTTTGATAAACCTATCTAAACAGGTATGGAAGACTGCTACAGACATTTTGCTCCTTTCTATTCGTACACAACAGAACTCCTTACAGACACACTCAACAGGATCGAGGTTAGAAGTTAACTGACACAAGATTTAATTCATTTTATAAACACATTTGCTCAAAATTTGTGTCCTAAGGGTTACGTTACTGACACACAGGGTCATGAAGATAACCATGATATGAAAGTGTGACTACAAGCTTTCTGGGTGGCTTAACAGCTCAAACTTGGTACTGAGTCCAATACTTTTGTTACCTATTAGCTTTAAAATATGAAGTTCGAATATTTGAACCTGATCAGAGGCTTAGCAAATCTCTGCTGAAACCTGAGCAGTCTCCCAAATGGAGACCTGACAATTTAGGAAAATAGTATTAAAATAATGAAAACTCCAAAGGCTTAAATAAGACCCTGTTCAAGCCAATGACAGGACTTTTTTTTTCTGGGCTATGGAAGAAACAGAGGAATATCCATATGAAAAAAACCTTAAATACCCAAATTATCAAAGTTAGTCCATCAGAGCAAACAGAAGCTGTGTGAGTGCCTCTGAACGTTTAACAGATTTATGACACCAGGGAGCAGTGTGTTTCATGCCCAAGCCTAGTAAGGTGCTCTCTATCAGCTGACCCACGACAACACTTGTCACATGCAAGAACCAAACATCCACACTTCATATATATGACCATTTTTCACTCAAAAAAAGGAAAGATGCATCTTAATTGCAAAAGCTGTCATGTACTCAACAACCCAGACATCCCTAGATATAAAACATCTTGCAACTGAAGTATTTAAGAGAGCAGAAATGTATCATTTATTTCGAAGTTACTTTAAGACAACAATAAACGTTATTATCACGTGGCAACCAAGCAGTGAAAAAAAATTTCTGTCAATACAGCAGCCTGAAGTTTCAATTAAAAGAGCTGGAAAAATGGTCACAGCTGAAAAAAAAACCCAAACACCTAACCACTGGATTATAACTTCTGCTGTTGTATCTTCCTGTTCTAAAGCACTCACTGGATATTCAAGGAGATCCACCGGTTGTCGAAACGGTTCAGAGTCTTCACACTGAAAAATGAGATTCAGCAACTCCTGGCATTGCTTCTTCCATGACTGAATGTCATATGACTGAGCTCTATTACGTAGCCGCCGCTTTGGCTGATGATCCTGAAATGACAGTATTGTCTGTTTTTACAGAATCTAATGGAAAAGTTACCCTGCCGGATATAAATTCTAATTAATGAATTCATAACACACAGCAGCACAGACAGAAATGCTTTTACATTGAACAGCTCAGTAGAACAACATGTCACTTAAGTTCAAAACTTTCCAAAAGCTGACAGTACACGATAATAAACACTTTCAGTTCTACATTCTTTTGTTTATAAACTCACTCCTAATTATTTATAGCATTATAAATCATTTAAAAAACACATATATAAAAAAATGTACCTTTCTTTTTCTAGTGGAAGTTCCCGGCACATTTGTATCTTTCTCTTCTTCCTTTGAGCAAGATAATGAGTCGCATAAAAAGGTTAAAAAAATATAAGCATATATGAGTAGGTGAGTTCTTTTATACTCCTCTTATAATTTGTGTCTTTACAGTTCTAATCCTGTCCCTCTGGGAAGCATTTCATGTGACCATCAGTTTTGAGAACCTCTCAGAAATCTAAGAAGCATCTAAATTTTCCAGCTGACAAAAAGAAACATGTAACTGACAGAAAAGCACACCCCACTCCCTCACTGTGACTGAACACAGTACTTTTGTATCCAGTAGGATGGAGACACTGGTCCCGTTTCTCCGGCCTATCAATGCCAATGTCTAAGAAACAACCACTTACCTCATCAGAGTCAGACAACACTTTCTTCTTCATTGCATTGTATAATGGAATGATGTCATAGCAACTCTGGTCTCTGTGCAAAAAGAAATAAACACTAACATTTATTTTCCATCTTCAATTATGGAACCAACTGTATGTTGCTTAGGATGAGGAAAATGTTTACGAAGCCATTCCAAAATAAAACCATAGAGCGTTAAGTGCTATAGGAATACTAGGAGGACTGCAGTAATAAGAAAAGCTAATCTTCTGCTCAAAAAGCTGTAAAATATTATCTGCACTCTGTAAAATATATCCACTTAACACTGTCAATGTTCTAAAATTAAAAATCTCAATCCTTTACCATGAATTTATTAGCATTAGAAAAATCTAATACTACACCACAGAAGGGACTTTGGGGCCCATCTAGCTTTGCAAGAAGCACTACAGTGCATTTCATGTGCAAAAGAGCAATTTAATACATTAGCACCCACAATCCAAGACGTTGGAAATGTAATGTTTATTTGTGTAAGGACTAGCACTGTTATTGTATAAACTTGCATAATTAAATCAGCAAAACAAACATCAGTTTTCAATTCTTGTAAACCAGCAAACTCCTACACAAAAGAAAGCCCAAAGGTCTTCTACCATGTAGCAACACAAACCACCAGAAAAAAGGTGTGAACACATACTCCGGTGGAATCTTAATCCATAATACAGGCTACTGTAATTATTGCTAGAACAGCTGGGGGGGCGGAATCAAGAAACACCCCCCCGCTTCTGCTTTTTAAAATCTTTAGGTAACTTAGAGACCAAGCCTTAGATTCTCAGAAGCATCTACGTATTTCACTTTCGTTAGAACCATGGGGTTTGCCTTCCACGGTCTAGGCCTTCTGCCCTACAGTTAGAACCCTAAAAAACCCAGAAGTCTGGGCTTCATATGCATTGCTAGTTCACTTAAACAAGTATATTAATAGACACAAGCTATAGGGCATTATTAAATAAGAATGTCCATGTGTTGCACTAATTTAAACCAATTAAAACCACAAACTTTGAAAAACCCTGAGCTGCTTAATTAATCAGAGAAAAAAACATCTAGGACAAAGATGTTAAACAACAAAATTAGTAATAGAGAAGCCCTTTAGATCTGTTCCTAAAGGTGTGTTTCATTAACATTTTTAACATCTGAAGTATTTTTCACTTTCCAGCCAGTACCAGAAATTACAGGCACTGAAGATATCAAAGACTTATGTATGGAGTCAAAGTCCTAGATTTCCAAATACGTAATGGAATTCTGATGTTTTTAAGAAAACAGAAAATAAAAAAGAACAAGATTCAATTTAACACTGAGAAACTAAATCACTAAAACCGTCATGATTTGTGTTAAACTAATGAAGCACCTTGCTGTTTCTACAAGGTGGGAACAGTGGCATGCACTGCGCACAAGCAAATCAAGGCAGGGGTGCACTCAGTAAGCTCTTACACACTTTAGGTCTGCAGATGTGTCAACTGACTGTGAGAAATCTGAAACATTTCTCATTGAATTTTTCTACAGACATTAATAAAAAAAGAACATTTGAAAGACTATTGACTACAAAACCTCCAGTTATTTTGCATATCAAACACTATTTTCAATCACATTATAAATTGTAAAGACTTGAGAATTAAATGCCCACAATTATGTTAACATAGGCAGTATTCAAACTCAAAATCAGAACTCCAAACTTACCTATAAATGTATCTATCACTCCATGAAGATACTCAGATGCATTTTTATCACTTAGCACAGTCTCTTGAAATAAAATGTCATGCCAATCAAAGTATTATAAAACTTCATCTTGTTTTGCAAACGTACATATTCTTTGTCATGATAAGCTTTATTCTTTTCTGCCCCAACAGCAGCCAACAGGCTTACTCCAGCTTTAAAAATTCACTTTAAAATTCAGATCTGAAAAGGCTAAATACCTCGGTAAGAGACAGGAATGACAACAGACCTACTAAGCAACTCACTTTATGAAGTGCAGCAGAAGATCTGTGACAAATTTGGCGGATTTGACAATTGGACTTCCAGGTTCATTAAATGTGCGAGTATTGTGTTCTATGTACCGGACTTCCCACATTAATGAAGAAAGGCGCCTGTATAGAAGGAAGCAGGGCAGGGGAACAAGACACTTAATTTCTAGCAACATACATGAAACAGGAGAAAAAGCCTTACGTCCTTCTTCCAAGGTATTATCCCGTTCATCATTTTTTTACATTACACCAGAAAACGTGCACACTTCGATATGCTGCTCTGTGTGACCAGCAGAAGGCAGCTCTCATGTTACGTCCTACAGCAACTTACACAGATGGCTTTAAGAATATAACTGACACTTCTTGGGAAAACTCAGCTGTGATGCTTCAGCTTTTACTATTCGTTTATGATACACAAAAGCCACCCTATATCATCTTTTAAGTCACAGCTGAGGATTAACAAAATAGTAATATAAAAATATTAATAGTAATAAAAAAATTATTAAAAGGACACATTTTTGGCAGATAGACAGTGATCGGATTTCCCAACATAGCCTTGATGCAATGACCTAACTATAGAATAACCATATTATGAAAAATGATGCACAAAAGCAAAAATAACTGAAAAAAAAATAGATGCAAATCTAGAAAAAGATACAATAAAAAAAGAAAATACATACTATTTCAAATAAAATCTATGACAGCAAGAAGTTACAGATATATACAATCTTCTATTTTCATACTAGCAAAACGTGATGAAAAGAAATGCTGCACAAGTGTTTTGTAGAGTGAAGCAGAGGATCGTTTAAAATGTTCAGCATAAGCGTTTAGATTCAGTTTAATCACATTTATGATTCCAGCATTTAGTTCTATACAATGGCAGCAGCGACTGGGGGGGGGGGGGGGGAAATCATACTTTTTCTGGTTTGTTTTGCATTTTTCAAAAACATACAGGCCTGCTAAGACTCCTGGTTCAGAAGAGGAAAAATATATTTTAAAGGTAAGCCTCATGAAAAGCTACCAAAATCACAAGCCATCTGAACAATCCCTCCTGCAGAAGGGAAAGAAAAAAATTCCACTGGAAAGCCCAAGACAAGGTGGTTGATTATTACCTAAACAGGCCTTGGCAATACTACAAACTAATAAAACCAGATTTCCTGAAGAAGCTATGCTGTTTACCAAAAATAACCACTTGCTCTTTTGACAAGAAAAACAAAATCCAGCAAGAATTCCTCACCACCTCTCATTGCAAACCAGAACAGTACAGAAGTGAAAGGTAGATTACCTTAAATCACACAATAAATGGACCAATAAATGTATATGATTGCATTATAATGTATAAAAAACAAGGTCATTTTAAATGAAAAAGTGATTTTAATTTAGAATTCAACCTTCAGTTAGTACATATACAGTACTGCAAATGAACTTTGAAATTTGGGCCAAACCGAAATGCTACCCATGTTTATCCAAAACAAGTATTAGAGGGACACTGATTATCAAACCAGAAATATCCCAAGAACCAAAGGCAACAGAAGTAATTTAAAGGAGCATAGTCCTACATAAATAATATTTACTGCAAAAAAATACAGCTATTGCAATAGTAGTTTAGGAAAACATCAAAACAGTGTCAAAAAGTTAAAACTTACCTTTGTTGCTGTCCAACAATTTAGAATTTCAAAGCCAGTAACTTAAGAAGCTGTTTTCTGTGTAACTTCTTAAGTGATAACGCAAGATTTTATTTTCTTTTTTAAAAGCACATTAGGACAAAAACACTTGACAAAGTACTAAGGTTTCTCTATTAAAAAACAATTTTTTTTCTGAAAAAAATTATAGAGTGGAGACATAATCCTTTTGACTAAAAGTCATTTTACTGACCTAGTCTCTAGTCCTGCAATCTGAATCTCACATGGAACAAATCATTTGCATAAGCAGGAGTATGAACACCACATAATTCTAAAATACATTTTGGAGGAGAGAGGTTCAATCCTTTTTAAAAATTTCATAAAATGGGAATCTAGATCAAGGACAGAAGATAGGAGAAACAGAAAGCACACACCTATACGCATCTCATAGCTGGGTTTTACCAGACAAAGAGCTAACAAAAACGTGGCTGGCAGTATTTTACAGCAGAAACTGAGACTTGGATCTAACCTGTAAAATCTGCTTTCCAGCCTTTGTTTAATGGTACTGAGGTCTGTGGGATACGCCACGACAGTGCAATACATTGGGTAAGCCTGAAGATCCACAGGTGCCACAAACGCAGAAGCAATATCTAGATAGCATTAAAAAAAATAAAATCAAAGTTATATACCACAAAAGTCCCTTAGCAATTTCAAGATTCGCCTCCCCCTCCATATTTCTTCATATTTGAAACACATAGCACTTTTCAAATAACAACTACTCTAGATATTCCAAGCAATTTGTGATACTTTACACATAAAAGCGCTTGCTGAGGTGTATGCTGTGCGTGCAGTCACTGCAGTGACTATCCATTCTGTTGTGCACTTAGCACCGCACTCCTCAGAGACATAGCAAGCGCATGCGAAATATACACATTTGAAAAGTACATTTAGATGTATAAATTACACATATATGGGGACGTGCAATTCAGTATCATTATTTACAACAATTCAGTATCGTTATTTACAACACAGGCTCGTTTAATTCGGTTTTATATTGCCACTCTCCCATCTTCAAACAAAGCAATTCATTAAATGCTTACCATTAAAGTTACAGTACTATTTCCATCTCTAAGGTATGGGGAAATCCACACTCAAAATCAAAGAGAAACACAATCTCCCGTCCCTCCCTAACAGCAAAGAAGCCTTCTACAACCAGCCCACCAGAACGCCAGAAGACTGCTGAGCCATTTAAGTCTGGGCACCTACACAAACTTGGTTTTCTCCTCCTGTGCTTAGAAGCATCATGAGTGCTTAGACACATCATTCTAACATTTTACACCTCACGGGAAAATACTGTAATACAAAACCATTAAAAACCACCTTTAAAGTCTCTCTCAAAAGTCTTTAAAAACAGAAAATAGGTTGTTGCTAAACAGACTGCTCCTCTTCTAAAAGCTGTTTACTTAATCTTATGAATGTTCTAGCAACTGCTGCTGCGTTCTGATATGCACCACATATGCTGTAGTTAAATCCCAAACTAAGCAGTATGCCACACAACGTAGTGCAAAATGCAAAACTATTACTTTTAGACAACACAGTGAAAACAACTAAAATCTCGTTTCCTTGCAAGTTTTTTTTTAATGTAATTTGGATTACTACACTGTACGGATATTTCCTTTCTTTTGGAAGCAAAGGGAAACTTCTTATGCAATTTCTCACTAAAAAAAAAATCATAATGTGGGATGTTTAGGTATCAGAAGTATTTAAAAAGTTAAAGAGTTTTCTTGCTTTTTTGAAATGTGTCTTACCTTGCTTCAAGTACTGCAAAAATCAGTTAAAAAATAATACCTGTCACAACTTACATACTTAATTTATGACCATTCTTACCCCAAAACCTAAGACTGCTTTGTCTTAACACAGTTTGCTCATCACTACACATACAAAACACTTATGATTCAGCCCATTTTTCACCCAGGGGATCTCCATCTCAGACTCCCATCTTTGATCCTGTAAATGTGGCACTGATGTGTCACAATGGTTTAACAATTACCTTTTCAGAAGCTGCCTGTAAAGAGTAATTGCTCTAGAACCAAACAGCAAGCAGCTTTTCATAAGTTAATCGATTACTTTTTCCTCAACATTTGGTCTAACTCCAGCAATGTGGGGGAGATAACGGGAATTAGAAAAGGCTAATGCAGGGGAAATCTACACATAGGTATCCTTTTGCTAAGTATATAAGATTTTTTTTTCCCCCCTTATCTTCCTGAACTTCTGTTCATCATAAAGTTTGCAGGTGTAACCCTACCAAGAGATTCTGGTAGCTAAAGTAAAAAAATAAAGTACTTATTTTTTTGATTAAAACCCAAACCCCTAGCATACATCAAATTAGCTACCAAAAAGCAACAGTTACCTTTGAAAACAGGAGAAAATTTAGTTTTGAAATGTACTCATCATATGAAAAATTCAAAAATGTGCAATGACAAAGTTTTGTTCCAGTTAATCCAGAGGTAACAGGTGTATTTTACCGCATTAATTTTTGCAATTTCAGAAGCACACACGAGCATAGTCTGAAAAATGTAAGTCAAAAACGTTTCCCGTGTTATTCAGGATTTACCCAGAGTCATGAGTTGGTTTATCCCTGCAATGATTCTGTCACACTCCTCATCTCGGGTCCTGGAACCCCACTCTCCATCCAGAGGTTTGTAGAGCAGCGTTCTACGTTCATCATCAGTTAAAGGAACACTAGTTCCCAGTTCTTCTGGAAATACAGCTAGAATGTAACATGAAAACCAAATAAAATATAAATCTTTGTATCTTGTGTAATACATACACCTGTAATTCAAAGATACATAACGCTGTTTTACTAACCAAAACAAACGCATAGTTCTTTGTGCAAAGCCATTCTGGATGCATCTGCTATCCTTTCTGTATATTGTGGTACGTTAAATTTAAACCCTTACCATGCAGTTTGGTGGATAAGTCCTCCATGAAACACGATTTAGCCTCTTCTGAATAGCTCACTGTAGAATTTATTTCAGAACCAACTAAGACACTCCTTTATCACAGTTAAAAGTTTGTGGTTTGTTTTGTGGTGGTGTTTGGTTGTATTTTAAAACCCAAAATCCTTAGTAACAAATGCTTTTGGTAATGAATGGTCGATGATTTTCAGATGGAGTTTAACATGACTTTGATGTTGACACCAAAGCATTCTCCAGGTAGTGGTTCCACCTTATCACAGTTTTGAGTTTTGTGAGGTCAAATGCTAAAACCAGAGCTCATGAGCAAGCAAATGAGGAGTGTCATCACCCTAGCATTCTTGAAGACCTACCAAGTTACCTGCCTATTTTAATTAATTATTTTGGTCATGTCATCACTCTAATTTCTGTATTTTACTTATGACAAAGAAGTAACCATTAAAAGAAGCGCTGAGCCGAAAATAAAAGTTGAAATGAACACATTTACAACTTAAAAGAATTAAGAATTATATATGGTAACTTATATAGTTACTTATGAGTGACAGTATTATCAAATATTTCTAGAACACAAGAAAAAAATGCTGATTCTACTTCAGTTTATTAACCAGACTTTTATGAAATTTTCAAAAAGAAACCTAAGTGAGGAAAGAAGAAATACTACATTCTTGTGTGAACAGTGCCCACACGCTGTGCTGTCCACCCTGCAGCACATGTATCTGTCACACGTGCTGGGCCAGACAGGGAGCAAATCCTACTGTTATCAAACTATCTCACAGGCACACTGACAGGTCTCAGAGCAGCTACTTTCCTCAAAGCTGACACAGGGCACAGGTTTCTCTTCAATCCTCCCTAACTGTACATAAAATTAACTTTAACTGTACATCATCTGTTACAAGCTTTTGTAACATTTCTGTCTATTTCCAACATACACTGAGTTTGTCTGATATGGCTGCTGTATGTTTTTTCACAGTTCATTTATCTGGATCTGCTGTTAGTTTCACAACTGATTTATGGATGTTCTTCAAACGCAAATGGTTTGTGGGCCTTCCCTGGACTCCTCAAGAGAAACAGGATTTTTCAAGTAAAACCATACAATTGTTTTTTTCCTTCTTTAAATACACTCTTAAAGCAAATTATATTATTAATGTACCATACCATTACTTGGTATCAGCTCCATGTCCCAAGGGCTCATCTTCTCAGTATCACCATTGTCCCAGCTTAAAAATAACCACATTTAAATTACCTACTAATATTGCTTCAACAAAGTAATTATTTAATGTTTGTAACATAACATATTTAAATACCACAGAGTATTATAATAAACTGGCACACTGAGATGCATGACTGAATTTAATGAACACAAGTTGCTCAGTCAGTACTTCAAATGAAATAACTAATTAAAATAAAGATTGAAGATAAATTTGCTAACCAGACATTGTAGCACTGAAATAAGCTATCAGGATAATCAGGCTGAAGAGGTTCCTGGCTTTCAATTGTTCCAAACCACCAAGCATCATCTATCACTGACCTGAAACGATCACCTAGGTAAGAACACAAAATAATTTCATCAATACAAGGCACCATACTCCTCCCAGGAAAAGCAGTTTTTAGATACCTTCGGCTTGATCTTGAATACAGAAATCCTTTTGAACACTTGTGACACCCATAGGCAAACATGAGTCATGCTCAGTTTTTTAAAAAAGTGTTATTAAATTATTTCTGAAGGCTGCTTTTAAACAGAGATGAAAGTTAACATGGCATTAAAAAAACCCAATTAATGATTTGCAAATCTACCTATTCTTTTTATATGAATTCATTTCTCAATTTCATATAAAAGGTAAGACATTTCAATGCTATAACTTTAAGACTCAAATCTGCTTGCATTAAATACTACATGCTATCTTAAAATAACTGAGCACTATGACACTTTTGTATGGGGAATATTTTACATGCTGCTAAGCTCCTCCTCGTTGGCTTCTGATGTGCTTTTTCAGCTACCCAAATGTAAATCAGAGGTTCTTTCCCTTTACTATGCAGGCAATCTGACTGATAAAAGAATAAAATTTATTAAAGTTTATTCAAAAGGTTAGCGAAGCAATTTACTATGACTTGAAGTGGTTTCACTACTGCAAAGCATTCACCTAGCTGAGAAAAAAGGTCAGAAGTATTATTAAAAAAAAAAAATTACACGTGAGAATGTATATTACATGCCATCATGAATTCTAACACTTTCTGTAACATACGCCAAAGAATTTATAAACAATTTTTAGTGGAGTATTCAGTTTGCTCAATACCAGAACAAATGTAATTTAAGCCTGAGATTCCAAGAACTACACATTTTTGTTTTCATGGGATTTGAGCATCCACACGCTTTCTTAACTGCTGCAATGTTTGCTCTGTTTCAACACATTCACGCTCGAACCAAAAGCTTGCTGCAGTTGTCTGAATTAATAGAAAGTAAATACATTCTCAGAAATGTTCCACTCTAACTGCACTTTTTTATTTTTTTTAAAATCTAATGGATTGCAAGTAATTCTAGGACAATTACAAAGCTTCCATTAATAGTCCTAATTGCACTGAATGTAACAGAACCAAGTATACAGAAATATCTGAAATGCAAGATCAAAAATGTAAATAAGGGTTGATGCTTTATTTTAAAGGAATACATTATTCTGAAGAGCTCTTGAAGTACCAGTCTCCCAATATGGCACTCCTTAGTGATCAGTTTTACGAAGAAATGTGTGTAGGTACAACTGTGAATGCCTTCCTGGGGCTAAACATTAAGCAGATCAAAACCACTTAAAAGAACGCACACTGGCAGCCGCTTCTGATTTCTCAAGAGCCACAGCATTCCTATGGACAGAATGCTAAAGCAGAAAACAACGTGACTGAAAAAGCCCACAGAACAATCTCTTGAATCATTATTTTTCCAATGTCCGCTGTGTTACATCATCTATGCGGACAGTAGACCAAAAATTCTTATTAGAGGATTGAGCATAATTTTCCAGAACTGTGTACCACCAGCTTTTGAGAGCAGCCCTGCCAAGAAGGACTCGGGGGTACCAGTGGATGAAAAGCTGGACATCAGCTGGCAATGTGCGCTTGCAGCCCAGAAGGCCAATTGCATCCTGGGCTGCACCAAAAGCAGTGTGGCCAGCAGGTTGAGGGAAGTGATTCTCTCCCTCTACTCTGCTCTGGTGAGACCCCACCTGCAGTGCTGCGTCCAGCTCTGGGGCCCCCAGCATAAGACAGACATGGACCTGCTTCAACAGGTCCAGAGGAGGGCCGTGAAGACTATCAGGGGGCTGGAGAACCTCCCCTGTGAGGACAGGCTGAGAGAGTTGGGGTGGAGAGGGCTCTGGGGAGCCCTTACCACAGCCTTTCAGTACCTAAAGGGGCCTTATAAGAAAGATGGGGGCAAGCTTTTTAGCAGGGCCTGCTGCCATAGGACAAGGGCTAACGGTTTTAAACTGAACGAGGGCAGGCTTCGACTGGATATGAGGAAGATGTTTTTTTACAATGAGGGTGGTGAAACCCTGGCACAGGCTGCCCAGAGAGGTGGTAGAAGCCCCATCCCTGGGAACATTCCAGGTCAGGTTGGACGGGGCTCTGAGCAGCCTGATCCAGCTAAAGGTGTCCCTGCTCACTGCAGGGGGATTGGACTGGATGACCTCTAAAGGTCCCTTCCAGCCCAAACTATTCTATGACAACGTTAGCTGGATGAAAATATAAAATACATGTTGAACCTAAAAGTGGCTGCTATGTAAGAGACAGGTATGCACACCTATCTAAGACACAGCTAAAGCTGCAGGAATCCTACTGGAATAGCTTTTAGTCGAAGTTTTAATCTTGTAGTTAAACTACAAAAAGACAAAGATATATATTAAATAGTATCTGAGTGAAAATAAGAACCTGTCACTTCTCAAACTTCCTAAGTTTGTTCTTTCTGAAAGGAGTCATACATTACTACACATTTAATATTAAAAAATTATAATTAGTCTTCCCTAAAGCAAACAAAACCCAAACAACAACAAAAACACCCCACAAAGAAACCCCATCAAAACACTAAGGACTGTTATTGGTTAAAAAAAATAAAAATCAATGTTTTAAGGTCTTCAAGTGGAGTCATAAAATTTATACACACTGGCTATCCAAACAGTAGCTATAAAAATATTAAGTTGTAGGCCAAGTGCCAGAAATCATAGACCAATAAGAAGAGATAGTAACAGTAGTCCTGAGAAGACAAACCAGCAACTACATGACATGAAAACAATACCAGTTCATTGACGAAGAGCTATGGTGAATGTTCAGCAGACTTGAACATGTCAGATAAATCCTGGGGATTTCAAATTCACGTGGTTAAATAGTCAGGAACAGTTTCATGGACAGTTCTAAGGCATTTCTCCTCATCCTGGTAGAAAATACAGTCTACTTTCAAGGAACATTTTTATATTGTGTTCCACACTGCAACAAAACAATGCATGATTTGTTCTGAGTACATAAGCATACACTAGTAAAATACCCAAAGTGTCAATACAGAGAGCAGGGTAGCACTCCAGAAGGCTCCTGGAAGAGGTGTAATAGTTTTAACAGCAGTGTCTTTGCTATCTCCGCTTTAGCATTTCATACGGTCTCAAAGAAGGAGACTATTTTACCGCTATTTTTAACCACCCAAAAGAGGAACTGAAGAACAAACTGTAACACACACTTGTCAAGAGTTACAAGTTGGTATTAGACACTACTGGCCTGAAACTCATGTTATTTACATTGAAGCCTTGATAAGAGGTTCTGGCACGTTCAACGCTTTTTGTGTAGCTCTAATTCTTTCCACACTGCAAGTTTCTTGAAATACAGTTGCCAGCCCAGGAAGACGACGCTACCTGTGCTCGCAGTCTTCAGAGCAGCACGGGTAACATTTCAAAGTCCCTCCTCTACTCCTGGATTTCTATTACGACGGCGGACAGATGACTTGTGGCTAGGCTGGTCACATACAAGGTATGGCAGTCATTCTTCTGCTGCCATGACCTTGTGGGAAAACATGTACAGCATAGCAGAGGAGGACAAAACCACAGATCCATAACCATCAGGAAAGAGCAAAGCTTGGTGACGTATTAGTACATGTTGACCAATGTTGTCTCTTAAGAGATCTTTAAACTGAAATGATCTTTAAAGAAGAAATAAAGATTTACATTTCCTATTTATCCTACTTTGGGCTAAACCAGAACTAATTCTGTTTTAGTGCTTTAACTTTTCAGTTAAGTCTCTTCTAATTAACGGCACTTTCTGAAACAGCAGCATGTTTTTCCAGACAGTGACTGCTCCCAGCAGTGATCAGGCCTGATGTTTATAGTTCATACCAAGTAACGGTGAGCAGAGAGGCCCTTGCTTATACTTGTTCTTATAGTGACCAAGGTCACTGCTAAACCTTGTACTCCATGTTGGGGTGCCGGGAGTGAAAAGGGTCACAAGCACGAAAAAGGTCGCACCTGCAGGGAGGAGCGAACCGGACAGGTGACCCAAACCTGACCAACAGAGTATTCCATCCCATAGACGTCATATTCAGTGTAAAGCTGAGGGATCACGAGGGTCAATCTCTCTTCTTTGATGGCCAACATCTGAGGACTCTGTCTGTTCTTCTGTCATTGATCCCGATCCGTGCATCCCTGAATACAGTGCCTGAGTCCAGCTCCTGCATCCCGTCCCTGTCTTTTTTTGACTGCCCCAGTGCCAGCCCTGCAGCGTCGGTGGTGGCGTATCGTCATCAGGGTGGGGGAGTTGGGTTCGGTATTGGTGTTGTATCTATTTATATATATTTCATTATTTTCTTATTCTTATGATAATCTTTTGTTTTATTGTCGTTGTTTCATTAAAGCTGTTTTAGTTCTGGTTTCCAAACCATAAAGTCTCTCTCCCTTGTTCTCTCTCCCTTCCCCTTCCGGGAGGCGAAAGGGGTTGATAGAGAATGTCTGTCATTCATCAGTGCCAAGCCCAGCCTCAGCCTTTGACACTACTGAATCAGAAGCCTAGGGTCTTTACCAGATTCCCTACAGAACTGAAGACTAGCAGTCTTTTCAGACAATATAATGTAAAGTATGAGATGATATGGAACTTATTAATATGGTTATCATGTAATTTATGCATCTGCTGCTAAGGCACAGATCCTAAGCGAGGATATCATGATGTAAATCAAATGACAGGAGATCAATTCATCCTTCCTGGCAGAAAAGTCAGGTAAGACTAAGAAACAATAAGAAAAAAGAGCTTTTAACATCCAGCTATGCCACTTCTTCAGGTTACTTGGCTACAATGAACTTAAGAGAGGACAGCACACTGGAAATACAAAATACAGACTAAAGAGGCAGCATACTTGCAGAAACATGTCATATCAGTTGTTTCTACAGACACAGTCACATACACCATCACGTTCTTACATTAAAATCCTCTAATCTCCTATATGATGCTTTGCCTGACATGGCAAGAAATGCTGGCAAGTCAGCTAGCCACAGCTCCTGAATAATACTTGCTTAATCTTTTAAATTTCAGGGACAACCTAAGGCTGTTCTTATGAATGAAAACATATTTACTTCCTGGCCTCCTGGAAAAAAACCAAGACCTTGGAGGATCATTTTGTCATAATGCAGCTTTCCCTCCCCCTATTTAGATTTCATTGTTGAAAGGTGATCTTTGTTATCACACGGAAAAGACAACTAGGAAATAGATCTGACTGGGGGAACATGCCTGTCATGGACATTCTCTGGTATCCAACACTTGAAAATAACTAAGCACAGGCAAAGTAAAACGAATCAAAAACTTTCCCACATCACAGAACAGTGAATTATAATTATATCCACTTCAATGAAGCTAAACCATATGGGGTTTAGAACAGAATTCAAACAAGCATAAAGAGATGGGAGGGGCATTCTCTTTGTACAACCTAAAGATCATAAATTTCAAGGCAGAGAAGGTGTTTCCACATTTCCAGCAGAAATTGAAAAAAATGAAGAAAAAATAAAAATTCTAGTAACAATGCAATTGTAAGAGGGCTTTCCATCCAAAAAAAAAAAAGACACAAGCAATATATAGGCTACAATAAGTTATCAGTTACCGATAAACACTGTATTTCTAAAAAGGATTCTTCTTTCTCTGCAAACACAGAGCTGAGATTTTCTTTGCACTTTCTTTTACAGATCACCTTCAGTATTTTGTTTCCTTGCTGTAGCTTCAGTCGAGGACAAAGTAGGACTCCACATCCAAATATGGACAAACCTTATTCTCTCATTTCAGCACAGTATTGGGATCTAATTATCATAACCTACTTTTTAATAAGTTATCAAGAAAACAGGTAGCCACTTGGAAAAACAAACAAACAAACCACAACAAAAAACTCCCCACACAACTCACCTATATTCCATCGCCTATGTTTTGCATCATCAAACTGCTGCCTCAAAACCAGGAAATCTATGACATCTGGCATATCATGGTACCTAAGTACAACAGAACACACAACTACTAAGCAATAAAAACAGAAAAAACATAGCAAAAGCTCAAGCCATGACATTAACGGTATCTTTTAACTTATAACCTCACCCCCCCTCAAGAAAGCCCCCAATTTGAATATAATACTGCTTTCCTTACTTCATGGTGAATGATCCTCCAGTTAGTTTACCCGTATCAGGGTCAAGAAAAGCTAGTTTAAGACAGCAGAGAGTAGGCAATCCCACTTCATACTTAATCCCAACTATCTTCATCAGCTCTTGCTCCTGAAATAAACAAAATGTTATGTACCACCACTGAAGTTAAGATGACTACAGTAACTTTCTGAAACTTGAAAATATGGGTATACCAAAAAGACCAGATTTCTGCCAGAACATGTCAAAGTCAAGTATCTGAAATTTAGTCTTTCAAAACAAGCTACTATTTCACCATTGAAATGGTGAAACTTATTTGAAAAACATTTTGCTATGAAGTGTAACCACCTCATCTGATAAAGCAGATGTAAAAACAAGTACAGTTTAAGGTCTGACTTCATTTGACTGTTTATTAAGTTTAAATTTTTCCTCTTAAAGTATTAAGAGCACAACAGTAGAAACATCTGTATCAAGAATCTTCTTTCAGTTAGTTCCTAAAAGTTTTTTAATATTAAGATACAAATAAAAATGAAAAAGAAGTCATACCCGTAATTCCATTTTATGCCATGGTTGCTTTTTGGGATTAATACTATATATTTTGTTCTTCTTAGCCATTACAACATAAGCTTCATGACCTTGTCGGAAATAGTAGACCTAAAAGTGAAATGTGACAGTTATTTAACACAGGCTTTGAGCAGTTGAAATGCTAGTGTATCACTGTGCTACAATGTGCGTGCTTTCTATTTTATCATCAACTCTTTTCCACTCTGTTTTCCTGCAAAAGTCACAGGTTCTCAAAAAATTAAGTGGTGGAAAATTAAAGCAGCTATCATAAAAACATTTATAGAAAAAGTAGGAAAGATTTACAACACCATTTTCCCTATGAGCAAAATATCCTAAGTTATACACGTGAGACCCAAATGAAATCAGTAACAAAACCATCTATTTATCATCGCACTATAGAACAATTCAATGACAGTAACATGAATTCCACTAATCCACCTGGTTATTCATCACTGTAGGACAGCCCTAAGATGACAATCAAGTATCACTAAACTCACCATCTGTCTAATCATATCTCTTTTTGAACAAGAATATATTCCAGAAGGAAAATTCAGCTGTTTTTTATTGTTCTGATAAGATTTTGGTGTTCGCTTCCATACCACTGAACAAATAGCCTAACAAAGATATGAATAAACTGAAAATAAGACATTTCAAGTGGTTATTAAAAATTTTCAAATCCTTCCACTATAAATTTCCACAGTTCGGACATCCAGAGTCTATTAGTGTTACTTTGATCCTGTTGTGCATGACACCATGTGGATGAATGTTTTTGTTCTAAACCATCACTGTAACAAAGTAGAAGCTGAAAACCTTAAACATACATTCAAGGAAAGTATCTGAAACGCAAAACAGGTTCTGCAAACAACTGGAACAAAGATCTGATAAACAGCTGTATTCCAGGTACAATGCACTCCAAATTAAAAAAAAAAATCCTCTAAAAGTGACACAAGCCATAAACATGGGATTTCCATCAAGCAGGATGAGGGAACAATAGCTTAAATGTAAAGGTCTAACACAACAAAAAAAGCAGCATGAGAAGTCCTCAGTAAGTTTTAAAATACATTTATACAAATAAACACACTAATGTTTGTATTTCCAGATGCTTTCCAAATCTGTTGTATCATCAAACATTATAAACAAGTGTCTGTCAAGTTTTTACATTAACAGTTACTGAAATTTCTTAATGTCACATAGCAATTATTTTTCTTATGTATTTTAAATGGAGAAGGACTCGGCACCAGAATTTTGCTTAAACTGTTGTTTTTCAGAGTGTCCAACATGCACAATATCCTCGTAGGGAAAAAACGCAGTGGTCACAGAAGGCATGAAAGCAGTGAGAATCTCCTATGCACTGTCAGAATCAAACTGGCAGGAAAAGGAACAGAGGCTACTAAGAGACAGACCTAAAATAATGCTAATTTAAATCACACTTTCAACGCTGTGACAATTGTTTCCTGTACATTCCAGTGAATCAAACAAAAAAAATATCCACTTAGTGGCATAGGCTACAAACAATTCCTACTACACTTACTGTTTCTGCTAAACCTCTACATAAATTCAGCTCACTGTTTACAAAGAGAAACATTTTTATTTTTATAAATGGCTCTAAGCTTTCCATCTTCTGTCAGAACAAAAAATTAGAAAGGTATCTGTGGAAAAAAGAATTTATGCCCTTTCCCAGGAAATCAACTTTTTATTCTTGATAAATTCTGGCTTCTGCATGTTTGTTGTAGTACCCAGACAAAACTGTTCTTTATCATGTTAATGGCAGAATACTCCAACGAACGTGCATTGTGTTTCTATAATCAGACAGTCCCATCTCTGGTGTGTTTCCACTGTTCCTCAAGACACACAACAAAGGCCTGTAAATGGCAGCATTGATAAAGGGAAAAGGGATGGTATGTGCTTTTCTTATGCACAGAGTATAAAACTAAGTATAGCACTACTGTTCTTTCTTACTTGTTTGTACAGCTGTAAGAGAACGAATTTGAAATATCTCTCCTCCCAAATCTTATAAAACATACCAACCATCCACCAAAACGTTCGAAGGCCACATGAGACCTCTTCTTATCACGCCTCTCTAATTAAATCGATCTTTTATTTCTGTGGATCTCAAAAGTAACTTTCTAGATGAATAGCTTCTTTTCACATCTTAAGCAAATATGGGGAGGGCAAATATCAGAGATGGAATTTTAGACAGAGCAGCTTGATTACAAACATAATCTCTATTGGTGTGACGACCACTACTTTTTAGGCACAGGACAGGAGATTTCCTGTTCAACAATACAAAGCATTTTTCAGCAAAAGGATGCAGCCTACTTAGATATTCCCAGTACACACCACACACGCTATTCAGCAGGTGCCAAACCAAACACACCAGTTTATCTTACTAAACCACTACCACATTAAAGCCTCGTGAGTGATATGGTACAGATAAATCCTTGGCTGCTTCCCTGTATCCAGATGGTATCAGGTACCAAATATATTTATTTGGACTTGATCTTTTGCACAGTACAGTCTCCAAAACATGCTTGCTGGAGGGTATAAATACATAAGCATTTTCTCCAGTTGCAACTCTCAACTTGGAAGTTCTCCTTTCCTCCGTCACTAGCAATGACAATTTTTGCATAGCTGTGCTGCGAACTGCATCAGTGATCCAGTGAAAACAAAACTGCATGCACACGCAACCTCTGCTCCTGATTTCAGTTTCTAAGGTGGTGCCTACAAACAGCTCTAGCTCAGGACCAAACTCTGCCATCACGTCAAGTATTTCTCCAACTGCATTCTGAAGGTGTGAGCTATACAAGAACTCTGCAGAAACGCGCTGCTCCCTGAAGAGCCAACAGACTACACATTACAGCATAAGCCAGCCACTTGCTCTTACTTTAACCTGAGGGGATTTTAGGAAACATGCACAGACTGGCTTTCAAGATTGCCTTCTATCTGATACTACTTATTCATACAATTCACTGTAACATTCACATGCTATATATTCCAAAGCAGGAACTGGTGGGTGTCCTTTTGCTTCTGTATTTTGAGATGTCTGGGCCATGTTTACAAAGTGTTTACAGTCCAGTTCATATGAAACACATACACAAAACTTCTCTTGTGGGTTTCTGTTGTAAGAGACCAGCAGAAGTTTTCTGATATCAGAAACACAAGCAAAAAGGACAGTATCAGAAATTTTCTTCAGAATCTCTAAAAAAAACCCCAACAAAACCAACACCACAAAAAACCCCCACCGTTTCCCTAGAGGTTTAATTCCTGGTTTTTCACATCAAGTCCCAAACTGAAGTTTTCCAAACAACTTAAATTTGTATTTGATTTCTTACCTATTTTTCAGCGTACAAGATGCTGTACAACTGAGGTCTAGTTTCACTAGATAAAGCATCTCACACAGTTTCTATACACATCCTAAGGAAATTAACACACTGAACATTGTAGAAGAAGGAATATTACTGAAATAGCACAGAGTTCAGAAAAGTCAAAGCCACACTTCACAGAACATTTTTTTAAATATGGGAAAGACTAAAGGAAGCAAAAGCAAATTTTAGCCAGATCAAAGAATGTTTTGAAAATAACCCAAAATATTCTGTTAATAAACCTCTGGAAAAAATGCACAGATGAAAATAAAAAAAGGCAAAAACAAGCTGAAAGAATCATGAACACAAAGGCAAAAAACTACAATACCTCATCCCCCATCTGTGGCACAAACGGGCACCGACGAGGAACAGTGTCTGTAATCCATGCTGAAGGCAGCCATTCTTCCAGTGTCAAACCATTTTCTGACAGAACTCCTACAGCCAGTCTCTGAAGAAAATGCACACAGAAGATTAATGTAATAAACTAACATTTGGGGAAGCCTTGTATTTTGGTGAGTGTTTTATTAAAATCAACTGCCACTTGTTAATGTATATTTAACATAAAATGGAAATTATTGCCAGTGTGAACATAAATCTTACTTAACTGCTTATACGAACACCAAGACCAAAACCAGTAATAATCTGAAAATGAAGTGTTTTTTTAAGGGGTTTTTTAGTTTGTTGGGTTGAGGGGGGGAGGGCCAGGGCAGGGGGAGAGCTCTTCTAATAAAGACTGAATTTATTAACACTCCAGTAACTATGTCTCAGTCCCAAAAAGATAAAACTGAAATACGCCATTTTAACCAAATTCACACAGTTGCCTTGGCCCATAAGACACTACAGCTGTACAGCTGCCTCCAATCAAGAAACTCCACAAAATGAGGAGGAATAGATGAACAAACATAAACAGAGGTAAAGCATGTTGTCTATCTGGAATTCTGTAAGGCCTTTGACATGGTCCCCCACAACATGCTCCTATCTAAGTTAGGGGGATATGGATTTGATGGGTGAACTGTTTGGTGGATGAGGAATCGGTTGGGTGGTCGCATCCAGAGGGTAGTAGTCAATGGCTCGATGTCCAGACAGAGATTAGCGACAAGTGGCATCCTTCAGGGGTCTGTACTGGGACCCACGCTGCTTAATATCTTCATCAATGACACAGACAGTGCGACTGAGTGCACGCTCAGCAAGTTTGGAGACAACACCAAGCTGAGTGGTGTGGCTGACATGCCTGAGGGATGGGATGCCATCCAGAGGGACCTGGACCAGCTTGAGAAGTGGGCCTGTGTGAACCTCATGAGGTTCAACAAGGCCAAGTGCAAGATCCTGCACATGGGTCAGGGCAACCCCCAATATCAATACAGGCTGGGGGATGAAGACATTGAGAGCAGCCCTGCTGAGAAGGATTTAGAGGTACTGGTGGATGAAAAGCTGGACATCAGCTGGC